AGCAATGCCTGCCCAGCTAAGCCACTCCTGGTTTCCTGACTCTCAGAAACTGTAAGATAAAAAGTACTCGTTTTAAGCCACTAAGCTTTGGGGTAATTTAGCACACAGCTATATAGATAACTAATACACAGGGTAAAGGGAATGTATGTTCTTGGTACTATTACTGCAACTTTTCTGTAAGCTTGAAATTATTTTAAAATGTTAAAAAATAAATTTGATTGAATTTTCTATTTCGATAACTGACTAGACCTAGAAAACAAATCAATTTCCATGGAAGGGAGAAGAAAGGCATTTTAGCCTGATAATTCAAGTTACATGTTTCCTCAATAAGTAAACTCAACATTTGTTTTAAAATATTCTCTTACTGAAACTGACTTGAAGTTCTTTAGAGAAAGTAAGATGAGATAGATTTCATGGTTAAATCCCCAGGAGTTTGTTTTGGATGGATAGAGAGGGCTGGTAAGATCATTTATTGTGTGGTTACTCTGACCTTTTTCAAAATCATACTTCATCTAGCTGCACCAGCTTTATCATCCTTAACAACTGATTATTGTTTAGTCATTCAAAAAAATATTTGAGGGCTTCCCTGGTGGTGCAGTGGTTGAGAGTCCGCCTGCCGATGCAGGGGACACGGGTTCGTGCCCCGGTCCGGGGAGATCCCACATGCCGCAGAGTGGCTAGGCCCGTGAGCCATGGCTGCTGAGCCTGCGCGTCTGGAGCCTGTGTTCCGCAACGGGAGAGGCCACAACAGTGAGACGCCCGCGTACGGCCAAAAAAAAAAAAAAAAAAAATTTGAGTGCCTGTAAGTGTCTGCCACAGTTTTACTAGACACTGGAGATACATCAATAGATGATATTTATGTACGTAGAGCTTAATTATACTGGGGGACAGAGTTATAAAACAAACACAAAATGAAGATAATTACAAATTGTGTAAGTGCTGTTGTAAAAAAGGTAATAAGAGAAATTTAGCATATATTGAATGTCCAGAATGTCTCAGGCATTGTGCTAGAAGAGCTGCAATAGTACACAAGAGATGACTCTTGTAACAGACTTACTGTGCATATACTTGTGGCTTTCTGTGTGATTTGGGGTTGTGAAGATTCACAAACTTTAAGTTAAGAGGTTGATGTGTCAGTTAGGGTTCTTTGGTTATAGTCAACAGAAACTAGCATTAGCTAACATAAGCAAAATGGAGTGATTTGGAAGGATCCTGGAAGTTCCCAAAATTAATGAGAAGGTGAATAATCAGGCTTGAAAACAGGCAAGAACCAGTATTTGGAAAGTTCATGAGAACACTTCATGAGGCACTTTGGAAGGGAGAGAAATCCCTTGGAGAGAAGGTCAAGTGGCTGAAGCTAAATATTCCTAAAGAAACAAGATTGTATGGCAGAATCCAATCCCCCCAAATGTGCCGTTTATTAAAGAAACTGCACTTTACCATACAAACAGAAGAGGGCCTCCTTAACTATGAAACAGTCACCTACATTCTTTCACCCCTTCCTCTGTAGAACAATCTGTTCTTGCTGATCCAAGAAAATCCTACATGTTTTACGAGGGACAGAAAAAGCCACCAAAACCCCATAAAAGGCTACTATAAAAGGAAAACAGAAAATGAAAACTTTTAAATTAATAGAAAATACTACCCTCTAGAAAATATGAAGCAGAGGAAAACTATATACATCACTCCAATATGAATTAAATATCATTAAATGAGCAATTGCAGATGTGAAAGAATGTAACAAACTGTTAAAAACTCAACAGGAAGATGAGAGTTGATCAAACTCAGGCAATTTACTGAAATAGTAAAATCATCTAAAAAATGAAAACTAAATTACAGGGTTCCTAAGAGAGAACAGACACACATGAAAATAAGGAACATGGAGGAGAGGAATAAATCAGCTATAAGGAAAAAAAGAGAAAATGACATGGAAAAAATTATCTGGGCCTCCAGGAAAAAAAAACAACAACAACAAACAAAGTTAATATTTTTTCCAAAGGGGGAAAAAAAATCAAATGGTGCCAGATTTCTTGACAATAACACCAAGCAACACAACAATGGAGCAGCATTTTCAAAAAAAACTCAAAGTGTGAGCCAAAGATTTTATAGTTCATCAAGCTGTACTTAAAGTATCTAGGCTCTAGAGAAATTTTAAACATGCTAGAACTTGAGGAATATTGTACTTACAAGCCCTCCTTGAGTACTCTACTAGAAGAGCTTCATCCAGCCAAGAGTTGACTGGGGAGCCTTCAGCTAAAGTACTGGTGAAGAGTATTAAATATACTTAAAATATATTTAATTTTATAACAAATGCAGGGACTAGGGTGAAAAAATAGTGTGTAAATGTTATATGTTCTAAAACATTTCGAATAGAAATAAGGCAACTAAAAAATATGAGAAGATGGAAGGAGTAGAATAAGTTCATTGGTTGTCACAAAGGCAATTAGATGGGAGTCAAAGAACATTTAAAACGGCAAATAGTAGAAGCTTAAACAAGCAAAAAGAGGTCTTTTATGGCATTACATAAAATGTTATCAGTAAAAAGGTAACCACTAGAACAGAAAACCCTTTCTAAATATAAAAAGAAATTTTAAAAGCAAGGAACACACTTCACATGGTGAAACGCAATAAATATAGCAATGTACACACTTTATTTTTTTAAAAGAAACAGGAAAGATAAACTAGCAACTAATGAAAATAATTATAGGAGGTGATTAGGAATGGGCTGGAGGCATAGGCATGGCAGCTTGGCTAATCTGAGTATACTTTTTATATAGTTTTAACTTTGAACCATGTAAATGCTTCACGTATTCAAAAGCAATAAAATTTTTAAATTAAATATGAAATTGAATACAAACAAAAACAAACTAAACTAGTTATATCACAGTGATAGCATAACCATGTAGAGAAAATAGTAATTTACATTAACTTTTGAACATGTACTCTCAGTGGGCTAGTCTAAGGACAAAGAGAGCTGCAAATTTTATTCAATATGTTTTCCATTAGTAATACTGGTATTGTAGTGCTGAAACATAAGCTATATAATAAAACATATAAGCAAATATGCTAATGTTACTCAGAACCAATATTTTCACTGTAAGAGAAAAGAGAGGCAAATATAAAATAAGAAAACAGCTTGTAATACTAATTTTTAATTGTAAACATTGATTTAAATTCATGAACTCTTAAAAATGTTATTTCCTAGCTCTGCCCACTGATATATGGCCCATAAGTAAATGGAGTTCAAATTCCATTCCCTCTAAAAGGAATAGATAGGGCTCCTTGGAGAAATAGCTGATATTCCCCAGCTTTGGAACAGGACAAGTACGAGGCAAGTCTAGAACATATTGTTGTACCTGAAGCGAGGAGGACCTCAGAGACTAATGTGATCATGTCTAACAGAACAGAAGCTAGCTTCTAGTGACCTCCACTGGCTACTGGCTTACAATATGAACATCAAAAGGAAATGTGACTGGGGAATTCCCTGGAGATGCAGTGTTTAGGACTCCACACTCTCACTGCTGAGGGCCTGGGTTCGATCCCTGGTCAGGGAACTAAGATCTCATAAGCCGTGAGGCGCAGCTAAAAAAACAAACAGAAAAACAAAACAAAACAACAAAACTGTGACTGTAATTAGCTACAATGTTTACATTGAAGATTAAGGACAGAGATCTGGGGAAAAAAAAGAGGACTTTGGGAACAAGAAAGGAGGGAAAATAGTCTTTTTAAAATAGAGGAATAGAAACTATATAATAAATGTAGAAGAAAATTAGAGAATTAAAAAATTTTAAATCACTATTTTGCACCTCAGTGTGATAAATGATTCAGTTAAGAATCATCAGTTGATGCTAAAACCATTGAGTGAAAGGCTGGTAGGAAAAAGAACATTCCCATGGTGCCAAAATACTACCCTAAAGAATACTAATTACTAAGGGGAGAAAATGACCTTTACAATGGAAAGATCTGTTAGTCACCACCTTGACTGAATGATTATCATCAATAATGAGACAATCTAGAATTATGTGTCTTCTAATGTGATACAATAGAAAACGTAAAAGATAATCTGAAATATTCTTTCCCAAAACATTTAACGTGAAGTTAATCAAACCTACAGACTTCCAGTTTGAAGGAAATGCAAAGAATAAAGGGAACAAATCAAGGATATTGACAGATCATGGATGGATGCCAAGTGACTTACACTCTTCAAAAAGTCACATCATGGGGAAAAAAAAGCCATTGGGGTACAGGGAAGGATCTTCTAGACTAAAAGAGACAATCAAATAGAAAGTATGATCCTCATCTGAATCCTGGATCAAAGCCAAAAAAACCTGTAAAAGGTCATTTTTTGAGACAACTGGAAATATCTGAATATGAACGTAGGTGATACAATAAAATTAAATTTTCTTAAGTGTGATAATGGGATTGAATTTAATTAGAAAAATGTCCATATTTTTAGAAGTGTCCTGATAAAGCTAGTATGGCAAAATGTTAATTGTTGAATTCAGGTAGAGGGCAAATGGGTATACTATTATTTCAACTTTTATATACTTTAAAATTTTTTCAAAATGAGAAGCTGGGGAAAATTTAAATTAAAAAAAAAAGGTCTTTTAACAATGCTTACTTTGTGAGTACACGGAGATGACCCATGAATTTTTCAAAACTAAGCTGACAATCATAGCATGATTGAAGTCATTAAAACGGCAATAACAGTATAAAAACGAAATATTAAAAGCAAAAACAGGGGAATTCCCTGGCGGTCCAATGCTTAGGACCCTGCGCTTTCAGTGCCGAGACCCAGGTTCAATCCCCGGTCAGGGAACTAACATTCCGCAAACTGTGCGGCGCGGCAAAAAGGCCTTTAAGGTGAATGGAGACAAATATAAAGTAATGAAAATTTGGGGCATTATATATATATAACATCCAAAGTAAGCTTCAGATTTTAAAAGTTTAGAATTCATAGCAGTATTCTGAAACAGCCGTAAAATGAAACATAAACTCACCTCTGTCCTTTTCTGTAATCCTATTAGCATCCAAGAAATATTACTGTTGCTATCTTTAAAAACCTGTTGAAGCAGCTTGCATATATTAGAAAAAGCACTTAGCATCATAATTTTTAATTGCTGTATTTACTATCCAAGCAAAATAGAATAAAATGGAACATAATAAAACTTCAGCCTAAAGGAGAAAACTTAAACCCTCAATTATTAGAAATTGTGTTTTTGTATATACAATGTTTTTTAAAAGAATAAACTCACATCCACAGATTTTGTTTAAAATATACAAGTGAAGTCTGATTTAACACATTTTAACTAAACCTTTTAAATACTTTACATTTAAAGTACATTTTTTTAGAGTGAATTTTCAGATGATTACCCCAAAACACTGTAACAGCATTCATTATTCTTTTAAATCCTCAGTAAGTTCAAGTTAAAAAAGGATGAACGTGTGTATCTCAGGTAAACTATTCCCAAAGGAGTATCATTACTGTTTGTTTTAAAGAAGTTACTTTTAACATATTAGAAACCCTAAATAAATGTAAATAAATGCATAAATGAAAAAACCTGATTAGATCCAATGGAGGGCTGATACTTAACCCCAATAAAGGATGACTGGAAATGTGGAGCTGTCAGTTAACAGTGAAGGCCTATTATGAGCCAAACTAAAGTGATGGCTACTGGTAATTTACAGTTAGCTCAGCGAGCACCCTTCTAGTTGCTAGATGGGATGCTGCCCAATTCATGAATCGTCAAAAAAGCCAATTAGATCTTCTAAATAAATAAAATTAGCTCAAAATTGTATGTTAATATACAGCATAGATTAAAAGTTTATAAATTAATTTTTAAATGTCTTTAAAGTATTCCAACATTTAATAAAATTGTAATTAAATATCAGAACTGAAAACTAAATAAATACTACATATGCTACTTAGCACTGTATCTGATTATGTTTTTCTGCCCTTGAGTCATGTTCAGAATCATTTCACAAAATTTCTGAAATTAAAAATGACAATGTATAAATGTCTCCATAAACAATTGTCATTGCTTGTGTCATCCTCATCAGTTCAGAAGAATGTGTATGAGAGACGAATGGCCACTGTGTAAGGAATTTGGCCTTACCCAGAGTTCTGGCCTTTATCGTCAGGAGGTCCCAGTGAGAGGAGTGTCTTTGTTATTCATATTGGGCTCCTCAAATCACATCTTATAATTTATGCTAACATGAGCCCCTAGAGCCTGATGTCAGCTAGTTCTCCAGGGAGGGTCAGGGCTGGAGAGTGAGTTCAACCATGTGTGCAAAGAATCTATCAATCATGCCAAGTAATAAAACTTCAGTAAAAATCTGAACACCAAAGCGTGGGTGAACTTTCCCGATTGGCAGTACTTGCGTGTAGTATCATAAATTGTGGCCAGAGTATATAACATCGTCTAAGACTCCACAGGGAGTGGACAATTGGAAAGGACGACTGGAGTTTGGACCCCTCCTAGACTCTGCCCTATGTGTCTCTTCCTTTGGCTGGTTCTAACTTGTATTCTTTCTCTGGAATAAATGTGATTATAATAGCTTTCAGTGAGTTCTTTCTAGTGAATTATTGAACCTGAAGGTGAATTTGGGAAACCTCTGAATTTATAGTCACCAAGACACTCTACTATAGTACAATTTCAAATCTTTGGGATTTGAAATTCGGCAATTTATTTCCTCTGATATTTTCTCCTCTGGAATGTGTATGTAATCAATCCTGCTTTGAAAAAATTCTCTTTTTAAGAACAGTAAGAAAGACAATCATGATTACTAACACTGGTCACTATCTGACTGTGTTGAATGGCAGTGGTATCTATAAGATTTAGATTATGAGGCGTATTTGCATAGCACAGGATTCAAGGATTTTGATATACTTTCAATGAAAGTATTATAAAAAAAAATATTTAAAGATTTTCAGCTAGTGCTTCTGAGAAGATACCAAAGAAGGGTATACATTTTAATGCTGATATTATTTTAGTAACATTTTAAAACAGCATTTTGTACAAGGCTACTTCAGTAATAAAGGTGGAAATAAAATCCTTTATATTGCTTATCATTTGATCTCTATGCATTGAATTGATAGTCACAATAGAAACAATTATATTCAAATTATGAAGAAAACTGGGAATTTCCTGGCGGTCCAGTGGTTAGCACTCCGTGCTTCCACTGCAGGGGGCACGGGCTTGATCCCCGGTCGGGGAACTAAAATCCTCCAAGCCATGCGGTGCAGCCAAAAAACAAATATGAAAAAAATATATACCGATTACTGTAATTTCTTAACTTTGAGGCTAGCAAAGAGATAATTTATTTAAAGCAAAAAAATTTTAGACTGGTATCATCATACAGGTAGAGAAATTCTAACGAGTTTAAATAAAATCCAGTCTTTCATGCTAAGGCATAGGCTAGTAAAAAGGAAGATCACACACATGATAAAGGTAACTAGAGAGGTAGGGAAAGGCTCAGTGAGTCATTTTTGATATATAGAGAGGAGACTAATTCATGGTTAAGTCAAGCACAGGTGAACAGGGAAACAAGGAAATATAGGGAAAAATTTACATAGTTATGAAAATAATCTATTTCCATAAATCTACTGAATAGATAACTGGATACCAAAAAATGACAAAGAGAAATTTATCAATTAAAAAGCCATTTAACAAAAGACCAATTTACAGATTCCTTTGAATTATGTCCATAAAAAATTTAAATATACAAATCACAGCCCCAAACCCAAAAGAATCTTCCTAAACAAAGGAAATACACATATAGACAAATTCAGAATCCAAATCATTAAAAAAATAGTTTAAAAATCACAGTAAATTATATCTTATAATAAGAAATAAAAAACCAAAATGACAGTTATATACAATTGTTAAAGTTTCAAAATTTCAATGATGGAGCAATAGTACCATAATTTATTTAAATAAGTTCTGTTCACTAATACTTGTATAATATACCTATTTTAATATTCTGTTAGATAATGGATTTAAATAGCAAATGTTGAAACAATGAAAAAATTGAATTATATTCTTAAAACATCCTAATGTTGCCTATGTGTCCAAAATTGTGAATTACAGTAATGTCCTCCAGAAAAGTCAGGTATTTGGTAAAGCAAGGCACATAGGACCAGGTTTTGATAAAGGTGCTTTTTCTTTGGTCCTATAATTACTTTAAATATGCTACATATCTGGGAGATCCTTAAGATGACTTTCGATATAGCATAAATAACTTTCATAAACTCTTTCTTATGTAGAGCATACATTCATATGTAATTAAATATTACGACAACGAAAGTGTAAATAAAATGAGTGATGCTAAACCCTGTTTTTAAAAACAAAACAACTCAGGTGACTATACAATGACATTTTAAAAGTCTAATAATTTGATATGTAGGAAAAGTGTATCAATTCTTAAGGATAGTTTGTATTACACTAAGTCTACTGAGCACAAAGTCAATTAATTTCCACTCATATTCTGTCTCTTTAGATTCTAGTTTAAATATCAAACCACCTTTCCTTCTATGAAATTGTGACATTCAATATAAATTGATGTAAACATTTAAGTTTTGCATCTCTAAACTACATTTTCCACCATAAAAGTAGTCTACAATGTCTCTAAAAATCACTTATTATAGAATTGATAATATTATTGTGTTGATACATCTACATGTTGCATTTCAAAATTTTCTTCCAAAATACCATATTCTTAAGTTTTATAGAACTATCAGTTGGCACTCTTCTCCCATGAGTTAGCACATTTTTATAATGAACAAAGTAGTAACATGTAAACTCTAAAAAGTATAAGAATTTAAATAATTAAGGAGGCATCATTATAAAAGATTGATACAATAAGGCTTCTGGAGGTCATCAAAATATACAGCACACACAGAAGAAAACAGCATTATCTGTATATATGACATGATCTAGGATACAGGTCCACCTTCTCAAATATGATTATTTCTTTATGAATCACAAACTACACAACCAAATCTCTAATAACGTTTTCAAACCTACTAGAAAAGCAAAATATAAATTATGCCTGTCTAATAAAAGTTTGCTTTGCAAATAGACTATTTTGCCCTTTCTCAGAACTCTTGAGTACATTTTATAAACTTTGGTGGGAATCTTGAAAATTGTGTTATTTTGGACACCTGAAATATATATTACTATTGTAACTAACACGTCTGATGTCCAATAATTTGCTGTATCATTTTTTGAAGTGTTAAAATTGAGACTAAACCTGAATTAACAATTAATTATGAATACACACTGAATTAACACATAAGTACCCAACCAGTACTTCAGTGTGAGCTGAACATAAATCTTTATATTTAGTCTTGAATTCTGTGCATTATAGGATTTAGATGTCCCTTAGAAGTAAGTAATAAGATGTAAGCCTGAATGTTGTTACAGTCTAAAAACACCATTCTCAAATTGTGGTAAAGTTATTAAATAAATACTCTACAAGGTGGTCACTGAAAGTCGTAAGTCAGAGTTCCAGAAAGTTTGCTTGGTGCCAACTTGGAATCACCAGCAGATCAATTTAAAATACTTTGTGATTTTAAGCATTTTTTAAAACTCTGTATGGAATATATTAGGCTTTTGTCCTGTAGAGGCTAGGTTTGCCTCAGCAAAGTAACACAGCCAGTCCTAATTAGCCAAGAATAGCCAACAGTTTGTAACATAGTATTTTTCAGCCAAATTTTGTTTAACAAAATCCATTAGAATTATATAAAAATATTTATTTTTTACAGATTTATACTATTAGAACAGGAGACTTTTAAAAATATATAATGTATGAAAGAAAAAAATAAATTCCTATACATAATAGGTAATTCTGTCTCTAGTCAATAATTAAATTAAACCCATATTCCAATTTTAGAAAGTATTTGTGCCCACCTGTTCATTTGATCATTTCTGCTATATTTTCTCTCCCTGAACCAATTTATTAAATAACTCATGTAATTTGCAATCTCAACTCCAGTGCTAATCAAAGGGAAAGGAAACCACTATTGTAAAGCAAAGCTGTGGCTCCTTCCTGGCAGCTTTTGTAGGGTCACAGAAAGGGAATTCAGAATTCAGCTGCCTCTCCCAGACATGCATCAGAGAATTCCTGGGAATGGTGGGTTTATGAGAGGCCTAGAAAGTTCTTCTGAGCAGCCTTGAATTTATACTTACAGTGCCATTTAAAATAATGTAATATCATGGCAATCTGGAATGTCTCCAAGAAAAGTCATTTTGGTCTCAATTTATTGACATCTGTACTACTATTTTTTTTGGTTTTGTCAACAGTTGTACATTAAAAGAAGTTTTTACAGATCAATGAGTAAAATATTCATCTAAAAATGCTCTAGTTATTATACAGTATATGCTTTGATAGTTCAAAATTCTCCAAATGGAGACATTAGACAATAATTATTATTTTAAATTATTATGAGTATTTAAATTACATTTTAAAACTTTAATGGAAATTAACACACACAGAAATTTATTTTAAAGTAATATTAAGGATTTATCTGATTTACAGAAAAGAAATACAATTAAGAGATTAAGGACAAAACTCCATTAGTGTAAAAGTAACTGGCTACTATCTAGCACAGGAACAACTGGATTGCTTGCTTCCAGCAGTTCTGAAGCACTAAAAGATCTTAAAATGTAGATGGAGAAATAGATGTGTATATTTCTTTACATTAAATTTAAATATGAATTTTATTGTCTGACAAATCAGACCCAGAATGTTACTTTATCAATTTTTATGCAGTTGAACATTTGCAACATATAGCAATCTTTTGTTTAGTAATCTTCTGTATAAATATAAAAATCTGAGATACATGAAAATGTTTTTCAAATCATCCTATTTCTTCACAGCTTTATAGGTAATTATAATTTTCAAACTTTGAATATCCATGTTATTTGATATATCTGTACAGAAAGAGTAAGATAAAAAACATTTAATAAGATTAAATATATCTAATTTGCAAAATTGATGTCTGACATTTGTTGTGTGCTCTTGCAAAGAATGCATAGGATATTTCTGCAGCAATCAAAAACATAAAATCTTTTTAAACTCAGATTTCAAGTTTCCTCCAATAATTATTCTAATCCCTGGAAATACTTTCAAGTTTTGATTTCTTGATGCAATAGGCATTTTGTTACATATACATATATTTTATCCTTAAACTTTCATATTTTCAAACCATTTGAACATTATGATCAGATTCAGCATGATGATTTTTTTCTTAGAATCTGTAGAAGTCCTCTGTGCAGGATTAATGTTGAGATTCCTAGTGCACCATTGTGAAAAACCAGATAAAGACAGTATTACCACTATGCTTTAGTGGGATTTCCTGCAGGTTTAGGATCATAACCATATAGGAAAGTAGCTGTTATTACAAGGATGGCTCCAAGGAAAAAGACACTAAATAGATGAAGAAGAAATGAAAAAGAGAAAATCAGATTAAAAACAAAACAAGTTATATTTCTTTACTATAAAAACAAATATAATTTGGGACAAAATGTTCCAGTAACATAGCTAACAAATACTGAGTACTTACTACATTCCAGATATTTAGCTAAGTGTTTTACATGCATTATCTCATTTAGTTCTCACAACAACCTTATAAGGAAGGACTAGCACTGTCCTCATTTGTTTATATATGAGGAAACAGGTTTAGAGAATTTAAATAATTTGCTTAAAGTCCCACAGCTTGAAGTGGGAGATAGAATTCAAACTCAGGTATGTTTAACTCTAGAGCCAAGCCTGCACTTTCATCCACTGTGCTATACTGTAGTCTCCCAAAGCAAAGATGTATAAAAGGTTGTATTTCATC